CAACGTGGGGAGGAAAGGGCAGCAGAGCTCCAACACTGCTTCCTTTCACTCAGCTCCACCATCACTCACTCCAAATGGGTTGCAAGAGACTTGATTTACATGTGAAACACCTGCAGGAAAAAAAAATAAGGCAGGATTATGGTGAACTTCCACTGTTGCAGAGGAGCTCAGCTCAGAGCTGCTCTCCATGGGGTCGTTCTCAAGGAGTCCCAAGGGTTTCTCAGGTTTCTTGGCTGAAAAACTGCTCCATGGAAATTAATCCTGGGAGCCTCCAGCAGCATCCTGCCAGCAAAGGTGATCCTGTACAGCACACTGCAGTCAGCACCCACTGTGGGGGTACCCAGTGCTGCCTCTCCCAGCTCCATAATGCCCCAGTGTGCTCAGCCTGCTCCCAGCTCCATGAATTTGTCCTTTGTTGGTCGATTCTGGGCCGTGCAGTGAGGAGAAGCAGCCACCACTCCCTGTGCTGCTGCTGAGCCCACGTGCCACTGCTGCCCGTGGGCACAGTGCCCTGAGCATCCTCCCTGCAGCCACAACAGGCTCCTTGTGCACCCTGAGCTGTGCCAGAAAGGAGGGGCTGGATTTTGGCCTGGGATGTTGGTGCCACCCAAGGAAAATGCTGTGGATGTTTGACCTCAGGCATCTGCCTGGGATGGTGAGAGCAGCAGTGACAGGGCCAGAGAGGAAGAGATTGTTCATCTGAGCAATCTCTCTGTCCCCACAGTCCATGATGCCATCAGGGACAAATCAGGATGGGCACCTCCAGCTCCAGTTTCACCATGACTCGTCCAAAATCTCTGCTAAATGATGTAATTCTCCTTCAGTGCTGCTCCCTCTGAAGTGCATCCTGCTGGAGATGAGGGACACAGGATCCAGGGCAGCATGGGTGGAGAGGTGTCACTTAGCACTCTGTGCTCTGACACGAGGAATGAGCTGAGTTCGTGTGCAACTTCCCTGCAAAGTGAGGGAGAAAAGGCTGGTTTCAGTCCCAGGAAAACACAAACACTTTCCCAGCCCTGGGATTAGCTGAGCTAAGCAGCCTCAGCCAGTAGCAGCCATGGGAGCAGCACAGTGCCAGGGCCACTGTGAGTTTGTAGCATGGCTAATTAGCCCTGGCTTGGGGCTACTGAGCTCAGAGCCTCCTGCTCCAGGGGCACTCACTGGCCAAACCTGCCTGTCCCCAGCTCTGACCACAGGCAGGAGAATCCTGCATGGCCCAGGAGCAGGAGCTCACAGCAACCACCCTCCTGGCAGGGAACTGGTTTTCCAGGTGAGTGCTGGGTGAAACCATCACAAACCATCACACAGTACCTTAGCTGCTGAATGCCTTCACTGGAAACAATCCAAAACTCCAGGAAACCCCACAGAGCTCAGCTGAGTGTTGGTCTTACTGCTGGGCACGTTCTTTTTTTTTGTGCCACAGCTTCCTGGGGATCTTCCAGAGCAGCTCCTCTCCCTCCTCCTGCACAGGGTTTGTCTCTGAATTTGGGGATTTCTGTCCAGGAGGAAAGCCAGAGCTGTGGCTGAAAGCCAGAGCATTGACCAGCTGCTGCAGGGAAACCAACCCTGGCTCCCAATCCCAGCTGGGAGCAGGGGAAGGACATTTAGCCCCAGCCAGGAGGATGGCCAGGCCGTGCCAGCAATTCACCAAATGGCACCTGGAAAATCCAATTTCACTCGCTCAGTGCCTAGTCCTGGCAAAACAAATAAAACATTCATTAGTTTTGGTGACTTTGTAAAGGTTAATGATGAGTTTAATACAAGTTAAGTGTCTCGTGTGGCTGCTGGATGTGAGACCTCCCACAGCAGCACACTGCAACAGC